TGATTGAAAACAGTTCCTTACAAATAAATTCTGTTGCATACTGATGTTATTATAGTCACTATTAGCTGGTTTTTATTGGTTGAAATTGTTATCAATTACCTTTGATAGCCGATTAACAAACAATTTTATTCTAAACCTTTTATTTTTTTGGTTCATGTATATTAAATGTTTGTTCCTGACGGTTTTTTGAGACAAATGCAGAAATAGCAATTGCTTAAGTTATCCATTGTTTTTATGTGGACCATAGGTCCTTTCTATTGCTTTATTTGATTGTCATTGTAGAAATATTGTACTATTATGGTCTAACTGTGATGGCGTTTCATACATTATAATGTTTTGTTGCTTTTCTTGTATGAATGTTTCAAATTTGATAATGTCATGATGTTGTATAGCTGACTATATGATATGGGTTTTGCTCATTGTTAAAAGCCATGCGGTGACCTATAGACTTGCTTATATCCACATCGTTTGGACTTTGGACTTTGGTGTATTCTCTTTGGCAATCATACCATATCTCCATAAGTTATTTGCCTAATGCTGTTATGATATAATCCCTTATATCTTTTGGATAGACCAATCTGTATTATGGGATGCATAAATACCGTGTCACATCAAAAGGCATAAGACCTCGTTTGCTATAGATTCTGGTACTGAAATGACCACTGTTGTTATTAGTCCCCTACCGACGAAGTCAGAGGGGACTTTAGGTTTGCACTTTGTCCCTCTGTCTGTCTGTCTGTCTGTCCATCTGTCAGTCCGGCAAATCTGTTTTCTAGACTTTTTTTCTTCATACTTGAAGATATTGATTTGATATTTGGTTTATTGTTTTATTGCGACAAGTTACAGGTCAAGATCAATTTTCACAATTTTAGCTTTTCTTTTTGTTCAGTTAAAGCCCTTTCCCTAGAATTAATTTTTTTATGAAATACTTATTAATTAGTAGATTTCTGTTCAAAGGGAAATAACTCATTTTTTAAAAGATTTTTTGGATTTTTTTCCTTTTCTTTGGTAAATTGTGTGAAGAATTTAGTGGTAGGTTTGTTGGTCATTCTTGAAGATATTGATTTGATAATTAGTATATAGTTTTATCATGACAAGTTACAGATCAAGATGGAATTTTGTTCCAGTCTGATAATTTTGTGCAGAGTTATGGTCTTTGGACATAGAAAATTCACTTAAATAATCAGTTTTCAACAGTTTTTTTTCTTCATGCTTGAGGATTTTGACTTGATATTTTTATGTAGTTTACACCATGACAAGTTATAGATCAAGTTAGAATTTCGTTCCATTACAATGAATTTCTATTCGGTAGGGGACTATGTATTGCCATGCAATACTCAAAGAATGCTTGTTCTACATGCTCTTTAGATCCTCTCCTAATATCTATAATATACTGTGTCAGTAGACCTCGTTTGCCATAGATTCTGGTACTGAGATGACCACTGTTGATATTCTACATGCTTCTGAGATCCTCTCCTAATATCTATAATATACTTTGGATTTATTTATTTTGGTGGGTACCTGTGAATTTTTCTGGATTAAGGAATAATTGTATTTTAGTGGATACATATATTGTATTTGATTTTGTAATTTTACAAAAGTCTGCATACAAACCTTTAGAAAATTTGTACTTCATTGAACATTAACATTTGTTGGTCACCTGTACTAATGAATTCACAGTAACTTAAAGTTAGCTGGTCTATCACATTGGACAGCCTCTGTATATGAATATGAGAATTTCAGATATTTAGATTAAAAGCAATTTCTGTCTTTCTCTATCAATAATATTACTGATATTTCCATAATTTCAATCGGCTGATGAGCTAAATGATTATTTTTATTTGAAATAATAATTCTTATCTTAATTATGATAACTCTGAAATTCCAATGAACAAAAATGTTTTTGAAGTTGTATTTTGAAGAATTTACCCTTTGTTTGTCTTGCCAAAGAATTTGATTGAATTGTAATACAATTGTATAAGAAGTGAGGTTAATTTACTGGAGAAAAAAATAGAATTTTTCTGTATTAAAGATAAAATATCTTATTAATTGAATTATTTACATAAAAATTGTAGCTTTGATAAAGGTTATTATGTAAATGTTATTAATCTAAGAAAGAATCCTATTAGGATGATTAGCATGATTAGGATTCAGATGCAAGACATTGTTAAATTTATTGTTCAGTCAGATATCTAAATTACATTTTCTCTATAATGAGACATTCCTTGACGAGTCGAGCATAGAAACATTTTTGTTTCGGATTCAGACCCAACCCGATGCAATGTTTTCAATATCTAGTAAAGAAGTCTGCTAAAAGAAAGTATTAGGGCCGTCATCACATCAGGTATCCCGATCTGAAATCTGTGGATGGATCCGAATCTTGAGGAGTAGTTACACTTTTTTTAGTGCACTGATTCAGAAGTAAAATCTGATTCCTACAGGAAATTATGCTCCGTGGGAATCAAATCCATATTTTACTTACTTGATCATGGTTTGTATTTATTGTGTAATTGCTCCTCAGGTTTCCCACAGATTTCAGATCAGGATATCCAGTGTGTTCATGAACTTCCAAGAGGTAACGTTCTTGTGGTCCATGTTGAAGTCTTCACTGTGACTTTGAGATGAAGAATAGCAGTGAAAGTATTGTTCTTTCTTTTAGAGTTTTGTCAATTCTTTACAGGGATTTTGTGCCATGAAATAATACACATGTTAAAATTGTTTCCACTATACCTTTGTATATAAGACTGTAATTTTTGTCATCATTGATCTGTTATTTTGCAGGTGATTGTGTCATAAGATAATTTCCCTTAAATTGTCTCTCACATTTTGTTATTAATTCTACAGCTTGATTAAGAAAAAGTCTTATTATTCAAATTGGTCTAAGACTAAGTGATAAGGAATTCTTGTTGACATATAAACTCATAATATTGTTTGTGAAAAAGAGTTATTACCCTTCAGTTCACAAATTTGACCTATTGTTACCCTGGACGACTAGGAAATATTTCATGAATAGATTTAGTAGGATGGCTCTTAGTTTAAAGTTTTCATTGTTTGTGTTTGTCTTTTCTTCTGTTTTATTAGAATAATTGAGTAAAATTGACCTCATTTTAGTTGGTTGATTTTAAGTTCTTCAACGCTTATAACGCTTTTTATGCAAATCAATCATTTACATTTTTGTTGTTGTAGAAAAGGAGGTTATTATAATATTTTATATTATTGTTTAATATGGATTTGTTAAACTAATGTAGTTTACATGTAGATTAGGGATTTAATGTCCTCAGATCTACCAATGAGATTAGTTCTGCTACACATATTTGAATACATGATATTATAGAGGTTTAAAACATGTTTCCAGTACGATGACATCCCTATTCTAAAGCAAATCAGGAAATGCTTTTTTGTACCATGATTATTTAAATTGGTGGTTATTTTTAAGAAGTGTTCATACAGAAATATAGAGTCTAGATTTTTTCTTTATAATATCCTACAAATAATGATACTTTTTACATCATAAACTGTTCATGTGTGAGATAAAATTCTTACAACTTATCAAACCAATTTGAATTTCATCGACAATTATTTAAACAATAAAGTGAAAATAGCTTGATTGAGACGACTTTATCTTGAACTGATCAGAATACCTCACAGCAATTTCGCTTTTCAACACTTGTCAATTTGCAAGAAAACTGGTTAACAAATATTTACTTTATAAAATAAAATGCAAAGTTAGAAATAACTGAAAGTTTTTATTTATTGCTAAAATTGTGAAGGGAAAGGTTTTTCTATAACAAAAACTCATATTTTCAATTTTGAAAGTGTTATATAATTATACAGGATTTCCTCAATTGAAATAGCAATAAGTTATCTCCCATTTTTGTCCATTGTTCAACAATCGCAATAAGTTATCTCCCATTTTTGTCCATTGTTCAACAATCGCAATAAGTTATCTCCCATTTATGTCCATTGTTCAACAATCGCAATAAGTTATCTGCCATTGTTGTCCATTGTTCAACAATCACAATAAGTTATCTCCCATTGTTGTCCATTGTTCAACAATCACAATAAGTTATCTCTCATTTTTGTCCTTAAATGTTCAACAGTCACAATAAGATTAAGTACACACCAATATTTCCTAAGTTACTGTATTTGAACAGTAACAGTATTGTAAAATTTAATATGTAAGGTTATTATAAAAAAAGAAGATGTGGTATGAATGCCAATGAGACAACTCTCTATGAGAGACCAAATGACGTAAAAGTAGTCTTTTTTTTTTAAGTAGACCACTCAGTCACCCAGATACCATTACCAGAGAACAAATGACTTAGTATTAACAACTATAGGTCATCCTCGGTTTTCTTTCCTAATTTAATAGAACATTTAAATTTGATGTAAGAGGACATAATGGGTATCTTTTAAGGTGTGATAAATTGTATCATAGAGTGTCACAATGTGTAATGTTGTTGTAAAATTGAGAAATCTTGTATTGGACATGGTAGTTACAATAGCTATGTTTTGTAAACTTGTGTCTGTGTTTGTTTTAGGTGTAACGTAATGTCTCCAGTCAGGAAACAGACTAACATGAAAACATTTCCTTTTTGTGTCCATTGGAATATTACATTTTAGATAAAGTGATCTATCATGTATGATTTCTTTCATTTGAAATGTTCCAACCTTCAGACAATGTGTTTTGACCTAAAAGAATTACTGTAAATTCAGAAATTTTTGTAACGTTTCATTATTGCAAAAATTGCAATACAATCGGAAAAATAAAAACTAGTGCATTTTAAACTTTGAGAGCATTATTTGTATGAGATCTCAATAATTTATCTAATTTTTATCCATTATTCAAATATTGCAAAAATAAATGTATGCAAAAAATGCTGAATTTACAGTTATACCCTTGTGAAGATTTCCAGTCGTATAAATTTCTTAATTTCGATGCTACACGGGTTTATAGATAATTGTCTGTTTTATTAAATGTCTTTATCCTTATTTTGCAGAAGGACAACATTCTGAAAGATTTGGAGAGAGAAAGAATGCTGAGAGCTGATGCGGAAAAAAAGCTACGAGAGCTCACCATAGAAACTGACCAATCACAGTCCAGGCTGAGACACATCCAAACAGAATTTCAAAAGTAAGTTAAAGTTTAAAGATGATTTTAAAGTCCTAATGTTTCATGTGACATACCACAAATTTCAGGAACAGTAATAATCTATTTTCTAAGTCAAAATGTAACCACTTGCTATAACAATGAAGCTTTTAATGCCCCATTTATGGGCATTATGTTTTTTGATCTGTGCGTCTGTTCGTCCGTCCTTCTGTCCATCTGCCCCGCTTCAGGTTAAAGTTTTTTAGGATAAAGTTTTTGGTCAAGGTAGTTTTTGATGAAGTTGAAGTCCAAACAACTTGAAACTTAGTACACATTCCCTATGATATGATCTTTCTAATTTTCTAAGTTTTGACTCCAATTTCTAGGTCCACTGAACATAGAAAATGATAGTGCGAGTGGGGCATCCATGTACTATGGACGCATTCTTGTTTCACATCTAGGTAGGGAATGAATATCTTGACTATTGCACTTAACACAATAAACTGAAGTTTTAGGTTCAATCTCAAAAGATACAGGTTAAAACAATTGTTAAAAGCGTAAACAAAGCAGAAAACTTTTAGCACCCACTTGATTTAGAGATTAACAATCACACAAAATTGTACTCTATAAACAAAATTGATATATATTTAGAACCAATTTGTATATTTATCATAAGATATATGCTCTTTATTAAATTAGATTTCCCAGATGTTTCGTGTTAATCTTGGTATGAAAATGTGAAAAAGATATTTGACCAATCAAAAATCTGTGAAAAATAATAAATGACCACTGTGTCATTGATTAATGTTCCGCTGGCTCCAGAAAGACTGACGTTGAATAAAGGGAGATAATTACATGATCAATGATCAATATAAAGTGTAAAAATGACGATTTTTAGTAGAAATTTATGTGATATCGTAATTGTTTTTTCTATAATAAATCTGTCCACCAACGACTTCCTTTACATCTATAGTGTCAGATATTTATTGATATATTTATGTGAAATCATTTCTGATTAATATGATGTTTTTTTTTTCTATTTTTTGTTTTGTATTTTATACATCTGAAGTGTCAGAAATTTATTGATATATTTATAGAAATCATTTCTGATTAATATGATTGGTTATTTTTTTTTTTTAATGTTTTGTTTTATTGATCTGTCGATAAAATTTGTGAAAAACCTTGAATAAATATATTGTAATATAAAGCAAATTAGTATTGCTTATTAGAATATGATATTTGTAATTTTTTTTCTATTGCAAATTCAAAAGTCTTTTATAAGATGAATTGTAATGCTTTCTGCTCTTTGCATGATTAAATTAGGTTTCTAAAAAGAAATATAAGTATTATAGCATATAAATAAATTATCTATATTGAATTAATCTTATAAAAGTTGGTTTTATTCGATATTATTTTATAGAATCTTTAGAAATTGGAAATTCCATATACAAAAACTTCCTTATCCAAATTATGATCAAAATGTTTAGGAAATTCCTAATTTAGTGGGACTAAAAGTACAGATAAAAGCGATGAAATTTGCTTGTTTAAAGGGTTGATATACCAACCATCAGAGAACTGTACTAATTGGAACTTTGATATCTCAGATGACAAATCCCTAGAGACTGAAAATTGTTACTTTGTAGATTTTTTAGAAATGTTTTCCTACATTCACCATTTTCTACATAAGGATATGCCTGTGCCAAGTCAGCACTATGACAGTTGTTTTCCATTCGTTTGATGTTTTTGAGCTTTTGATTTTGCCATTTGATAAGGGACTTTCCGTTTTGAATTTTCCTTAGAGTTCAGTATTTTTTTGTTATTTTACTTTTTTTCCTAATGTCCTGAAAAAAGAAAAAGAAAATACAATACCCTTGCTTTCAGTAATTGCAGTCTCATTCAAAAAAATATTTTGTTTGTTTGGTGGTGTTTTACACCTTTCAGCTACCTTGGCCAGTTTTTTTTTTTTTTTTCGGTGGAGAAAACTGCAGTACCTAGAAAGATCTACCAATCTTTGGCAGAAAAACTAGAAATCTGTATCAATTAAGATTAGAGTCAAACTCTCAACCGTATAGTGATCACTGCAGATGACCACTCGGCCACTGAGACCTCTCAAACATATACCCAACAACTCTATTTATAGCTTAGACCACTCAGCCACTGAGCCCACTCAAACATATACCCAACAACTCTATTTATAGCTTAGACCACTCGGCCACTGAGACCTCTCAAACATTTACCCAACAACTGTATTTATAGCTTAGACCACTCGGCCACTGAGACCTCTCAAACATATACCCAACAACTGTATTTATAGCTTAGACCACTCGGCCACTGAGACCTTTCAAACATATACCCAACAACTGTATTTATAGCTTAGGCCACTGAGACCTCTCAAACATATACCCAACAAATCTATTTATAGATATTGACCAGCTGAAACAGTCTGTATTTATTATAGTTATTGCTTTTCTTTAAAAATCAGAATCAGAAAAAGATTTTATCATTCCTTTGAAATGATTTCTATACCCAATCAATTTAACCTACATAATACTCAAGTAAGGGGTTTTGTTTCTAACTTAAAATATAAAAATACAAAGATGTGGTATGATTGCCAATGAGACAACTCTCCACAAGTGATCAAATGACAGAGAGATTAAGTTCATCCTGATATGAATTTCACTTATGAATAATGTACTAAACTTTGCTGTATAAATATTTTGAAAAAAACAGTAACAACTCCACGACAAAAATGTTAACGTATTGAGTTTCTGGATTTTCATTGAACAATTTGAGGATTATAAAAACTTTTTTATTTCTAAAACTTTTAAAACAAATTTTACATGCTGGTTAATATTAGAGTTCAATGAAGCATTTTTGGAGGAAACAGTTTGTTGTACCAGATACTGATATTTACCAGATCTGGGTTTATTTTTCTTAATTGACTTAGATACAGAATTTGTAAAATAATTTATCATTTTGATGCAATAAAAGAGATGAATATCTCTACGTTATTTAAAAGGGTTTCCTAGTATTTGAGTTTTTCTCTAAATAGCATATAATTTATTCTACTTTTACGTAAATGTTTACTTTTCTTGATGGAAGAATTGATAGATTTTATATCAGAGAAATTAAACGTAAGATTCAATTTTGTCAAACCCTATTAGGAATATTACTCTGAACAGATTCGTTGATAGAAACTGCTGATTTCTCGTTAACTGAAGCAAATATCTACAAAAAATTGGTTTTCTGGATTGTCACTACAGGAAGCTTTCTGTTTTGTCATGCTCCCTTCTCATTAAAAATCTCGTTTGTATTGATTAATGACTGAAAAAATTGCTATTTACTTTTACTTCCGATATTGAAACCTAATATGTATTTAAACTCATGGGTGATGAACTATCTCATTACAAAACTTAGAATGTGTCCTTTTTATAGCAGATTTTATTTTCCTCCTTTTATATACTTTGACGGTTAAATCTTCATGTTGACATGCAATACAGTAATTATACGGGAATTTTAAAGATTGAAGATGATAGAAAAAGTGAAATCGGAAGTAAAATCAAAAAGGGTACCAGTGTATAAATTTAAAGTAAATCTAGGAACCAGTGTCCAAATTTAAAGTACATCTAGGTATAAATTGTAAGTAAATCTAGGGTACCAGTGTTTGAATTCAAAGAGCATCTAGGTAACCAGTGTCTAAATTTGAAGTAAATCTAGGAACCATTGTCTAAATTTTAAGTAAATCAAGGGTACCAGTGTCTAAATTTTAAGTAAATCTAGGGTACCAGTGTCTAAATATGAAGTAAATATAGGTAACTGAGTGTCTATATATAAAACATCAATGAGGTAGCTTGTACTAAATAGGCATGAAAACTTAAATATCCCTTAATATGGTTGTATTTATATGATTCTCTTTTGTCCACAGCATGGAACAAGCAGTTTCCCAGATGATGCAGTTTAAATCTAAGATAGATCAACTAAAACATGAAAAATCCAGTCTCTCTATGCAGTATGAGGTAAGTAATGGAACATAGGAATAATATAAAGTTTTTCTTTTTTTTATCGAAGTGGAAGCCACATCTAACTTTCATGACAACAAAATAAATTTATGTTTTTAAAATACCAATCCTAATATCACTAATACAGCTGTACCATTCCTGATATCACCAATATAGCTGTACCGTTCCTAATATCACCAATACAGCTGTACCGTTCCTAATATCACCAATACAGCTGTACCGTTCCTAATATCACCAATACAGCTGTACCGTTCCTAAAATCACCAATACAGCTGTACCATTCCTGATATCACTAATACAGCTGTACCATTCCTGATATCACCAACATAGCTGTACCGTTCCTAATATCACCAATACAGCTGTACCATTCCTAATATCACCAATACAGCTGTACAGTTCCTGATATCACCAATACAGCTGTACCGTTCCTGATATCACCAATACAGCTGTGCCGTTCCTGATATCACCAATACAGATGTACCGTTCCTTATATCATCAATACAGCTGTACCATTCCTAATACAACCAATACAGCTGTACCGTTCCTGATATCACCAATACAGCTGTGCCGTTCCTGATATCACCAATACAGATGTACCGTTCCTTATATCATCAATACAGCTGTACCATTCCTAATACAACCAATACAGCTGTACCGTTCCTAATATCACCAATACAGCTGTACCATTCCTCATATCACCAATACAGCTGTACCGTTCCTAATATCACCAATACAGCTGTACCATTCCTCATATCACCAATACAGCTGCACCATTCCTCATATCACCAATACAGCTGCACCATTCCTCATATCACCAATACAGCTGTACTATTCCTCATATCACCAATACAGCTGCACCGTTCCTCATATCACCAATACAGCTGCACCATTCCTCATATCACCAATACAGCTGTACCGTTCCCCATATCACCAATACCTATGTACCATTCCTAATATCACCAATACAGCTGTACCGTTCCTAATATCACCAATACAGATGTACCGTCCCTAATATCACCAATACAGCTGTAATATAATAAAGTGACTTCTACATGTATTTGATGTATATTCCTGTGCAAAATATGACAATTTTTTAATATTGAATCTGAATTTTGACATCAAAGGCAAGCTGAGGATCATATTTCCTACTTTTTAATAATGAATTTAATAATTTCTTATAAAATCTTTCTGAATAGAATTGTAAACTCTTGAAATAAAAAAGAAGAATATTCAATCATTTCCTCGCAAATTATCAACATAGAAGTTTGGCAATTACAATTATCAAATGATTCAATGGATTTTGAAAGAAAATTTTAGAAGAATTCATATCATTTTAGAACCTCGAAACTACTTAAATTAGTTCATATTGGACTTTAATATAATGATATTTTTATACCATTCATTGATTTCATTCTGAGCTTATTAAGCTTAATGAATGGAGAACACTCATCCATCAGTTTATAAGCCCAGAAGGAAAGTGGAGAGGATTGTTTAGAGAATGTTTGATAATATAATTGATAGTTAGGATCCTGGCATTGTAATATAATTGGGTTTTGTTTGATTTGAAAATTCTGATCTAGATAAAGAATCGCTCAAATCTTTCCTCAGCCATTAGGAAATCTTTTTTATACTGATAGAAAATTATGTTTTGTGTAAACATTTAGTGCAAAATTTGAACTGGTTCACTGTTTGTTGTTCTGTATGCCATATAAAATGATTAATGCTTAATTGGAAAAGTATGAAAGGCATCCAAAAAGTGTACCATGACAGAAAAGTGGACAAACAGAAATGGTCCCTTCTTTTACAGTGCTTTAGAAGCCCAGAAGGAAATAGTTCATGCATATTCATGACTTTTCTCAACCCTTGCCAAAAAAAACCTGAAATGAAAAGCTCATTTTAAGAAAATTTGTACTTCTAAATAATCTTTTGCAAATATTCTTCAGCCAAACATATTTGTATGAGTTACAGGCTAAGGGCAAGTGGTTTTTGGCACACACTAGTTTTTTTTGTCTCATTTTTTCCATGAAATTAAAATAAAATGGACCATAAGCAAGAATATAGGTAAACACGTATAAGTGTTACTGCAATCTATTTTCTGTCTATTTATAGAACAATTTACAGAAGTATAACAGTCACATCAGCAGTTTAGAGAGAGAAAACATCATGTTACTGAACGATGTCAAAAAGTTTGAACAACAGGTAGGTAAAAAGATGTTCTGAGGACAGGAAACCAGACTTCAAATAAATAGAAGATTTTGAAAATTGCATTCAAATTGTGTATACCTGTTATAAGTAAATGTTTGAATTACAGAGAGCATGGCAATGTGTCAGTAGTGGGACTTCTATGCATTACCATATATGTAGCTCCATAAAGCACAATTATGATCAAAAATAAAATGCCCTGACGATAGATATGAATTTATTCTAATTTGAAGGCTTAGCAAAATGGGCCAATATCGAAGTCTTGACATTACTGGTTAAATAACATCATTGACATTTTGTTATCCAAGTTAATTACTGGTACTTTTTAAGTTAACTTTCAACACAGAAGCCACAAATTAAAATCATATACGAACCAAATCGATTGTACATATTTTTGACAGTTTCAAACAAAAAATATCTTTCCAACGATTAAAACATATTATGAGTTTTAACAGTACAGTACATTACATCTGTTTAAAGTTCTACTTCTGTATTTAAAAAAATAACCACTCAATTAAAAAAAAATTGAAATCTATTTTGAAAATTTGTATCAGTTTTTCAGTGAGCACGAGTTTAAATTTTTAGAGTGATGAAAATTTAAAATAATATGGTTGAACCCCCAATCTAGAAAGCATAGGAAACTTCTCTTTCTCTAAACTGCAATACCTATGTCTTAAATGATGGGGTAACAGTTTAACTGAGTTTGGCTATTACCATAAATTTAAATGGAATTAACAGATTTAATCACTTAGGAAAACCACTTATTCTTTATATCTTAGCTTGAATTAGGTCTCGTACAAGAAGGACAATTGGCTTCTTAATAAGGTTATAGCTAGAGGGCCAGTCTACTAAATTAAGTTTAGAGCTAGAGGGCTAGTATAAAAAATTAACCCTACAAATTGTTTATAATGTAAATAACTCCTATATTTAAATTTTCACTGAGATAACTATCTGTCCTAAAGCAAAACCATCAAAATGTTGACGATTTTTAAAAAACTACGTCAAAAATTTATTTACACCTGGCTAATATATAGATTGTCCATTGTCAAACAACGAAATTGGAGAAAATTGGCAAATGACCGATACATGGGAACAGTCAAGAAATACAATATCATTTCTGTATAATTTGTTATTATTGATTGCAGGATTGTTTACCTTTTCAAACAAATTTTAACAGCTTGGGGTGAAGATCAAGCAATTTGAACCTGATTTGTTACTTTTTAAAGCAATTTTATACACAAATTATGAATAATAAGGTCTGAAAAAACGTTCTGTTGACTCTGTGACTCCAACGTCAGTTTTCTGTAACTTTTATGTGGTTAGGATTTATAAAATAAAATTGTGGATTTGGATTTTAACTTATCATTTAAGGTAATATTTTTGATATTTTATAAGATGATTTATATGAATTGAATTAAGCATGATATTTTTAAATTACAAGGTGTGATAACAGATTTCTTGGTTATAATATTCTTCTGAAATTTGTTTGCTTTTAATTTACAATGATATTTTGTATAAGATTCAGAAAATACAAAAATAAAACCAGTTCATTCAAGAACACTTATGTCACAGTATGCAGTTTTGATGCCATAATCTGCACAACCATCCACAATTAACCCCAGCCCTTATGCCCTCACCCCAATTGTCCAAAAGAGGTGGATGAGGATCTTAGAATGTTAGGCCTTAATTTTGCATTATGTTACCTATAACCTATAGTTACACACAAGTGATACTACTTATCAGCATAAGTTGCAGACTTTGGTAATTAAACAAAATAAAATGACAGTTTATTTTTACATACAAAACGAAAATAAATTATCATTTATACTTATCGTAGCTGTAAAGATGTTTTTCTAGAAAGCATTTGTTCTGGGAAAAAAAGCCACACAAATTTTTCATTACAAAAATCTATTAATGTAGATACATATATTTAATAGATTAATTTTGTAGATTCAAAAATATATTTATTTTATAGATTTATGAATATATTAATTTTGTAGATGAGTAATGGCACAGATCAGGAGAGAACTAAGTTACTGTTAGAACGACTGAAGATGTTAGAGGCAGAAAACTCGTCACTGGTACTAGAAAATGAACAACAACGACAACAGTATGAGAAATGTCTGGATGAGATTGCTAACCAGGTGGTACAGGCATTACTCGCTCAAAAGGTACGATTCAAAATGTTCAGTGATGGTAATTGAATATAATCAGGTCGTATAGGCATTACTCGCTGTAAAGGTACGATTCAAAATGTTCAGCGATGGTAATTGAATATAATCAGGTCGTACAGGCATTACTCTCTCAAAAGGTACGATTCAAAATGTTCAGCAATGGTAATTAAATATAATCAGGTCGTACAGGCATTACTCTCTTAAAAGGTACGATTCAAAATGTTCAGCGATGGTTATTAAATATAATCAGGTCTTACAGGCATTACTCTCAAACGGTACGATTCAAAGCCTTAAGTGATGGTAATAGAACGTACAATTGATTCATTGTTGTTCATTGGATACCAATTTTCAAGGGGAAATACAAATTTTAAGTTACTTTAATTGGAGCAAATGATGCAACCACAAAATGACTAAACTTGCAAAAAATTTAAACAGGTTTCTTTTCAATTGAAACTGATCGAAGAATAAAGCAGCAATTAAAACAAATCATTTGTTCCACGAGAAATTTATAGACCAACACTTTTGTCCATTAAATCTTCTAATATACAAGGAATACAGTCAAAGGGGAGATAATTCAAATGGTTCTTTGAATATTTACAGGCTCTCAGGGAAGAATGTGTGAAGTTACAGACCAGAGTTCAAGATTTAGAACTTCAGAACAAAGAACTGAATTGTCTATTCCAACAAAAAGTGAAATACTCGTCAGATACTGTTCTGCAAGTAAGCTTTTAAATACAAAGTAATTTCACTGTTTCAGAAAACCAATTTAAATACAATTTTTTCATTCAGTTTTTTTTCACACAGTTTCAATATTTATTATTGTTCAATTATGTTGAGTTGGATGTTAACATGGTTAATTTTTATTTTAATTTAAGAAATGTCCCTAATACATGTATACAGCTTGCATTGTAAATTACTATGGGTTCATTAAAATTCGTTGGATACCAATTTGTGTGGGAAGAAGAAACAACAAATTTAATTACTAGTTCATTTGTTAACTATGTTTTGATTGCAGATCTTTAAAAATCTTTCATTTCTATTTTTCATACAATTTTCATACAATGTACTTCTGAAGAATGAACACATAATCTTTATTTTGTAGTCTCTTCCACCCAGTCAGACAGTATCTACCAGTACATTATGTGAGAGTACAGGGTATTACAATAGTGTTTGTAGTCTTCCACCATCATCATCTGTATCTGTAGAAACTATGGTATGTATGTTATATTTCCCTCCTATTTAGAAAACTTTGTCCTCACCTACTCACCATTCCTGAGTTCAACACAGCACAACATAGCACTGTTTAATTCAAATTATCAATATCACCATAACCAATAGACTCTTGGTTTACTTACACAAACATCCTTAGCATTGCATACTTGCACATATCTCTAAACCATCAAATTCTCACTGCTATGTTTTATTATATTTCAGCACATCACTTCCACATCACATAGTATTGTACAGTCGACAGCACTTATACATCACCCTTCCACAAGCACTGACTCGCTACACAGTTCAGACAATGTATGTTATTATTTTTTTTTGGTTTGGCATACTTTATTTATTAATTTAAGTTATACTATTGGTTTAACTGTATAGGTAGCTGGCAGACATTTATTTTTCACTTTATTTGTCAAATAAGCTATTTAGGTAGTTGACTTTTAAGTAGGCTTAAAGTTACATGATCTACAATGCTAGCCGTTAGTATTATTTGTCCCGTAAGTCCATTCATTTTACGTTATGTAAATGAAAAGAAATAGACTTGCTGGACGAATGAAACAATCTGCCTTTGGAGGTTTATGTACATATAACATGTATCTGGAATAACCTTCATCAGGTATGCTCTAGACAAAAAAAGCCGAAACAGTCCAGCCAAAGCCATCAAAGTGGCGAAAAATATCACTTGAATTAAATCACAGATATGACTTGAGATTAAGGTCATCGAATAATAATGAAAGAAAGAAAATTTGAAAAAAAGAAAATTTGCATCATACTACTACATTTGTACTAGCAATACTGTGTTGTTAAATGACATTCTAATGCAATTATTTTGTATCAATGGTTCTGATTGGTTGACAGTAAGCGTACAATTCTCTATGTCCTTGTCTGTAACTAAGGAAGCCGACATTTTGAATTGCGGAATGTATTGACATGTAATTTCTACAATAATAAGCAAAAAACTCACATGTTGCACCTAGAAATCTTCTTTTTATCAAATTTTATTACATTCTGAATCGGTCAAGAAGCCAGAAAACGCCCGGTGTTTATGTTTGACGCCGGAAGCATACCTATGACGTCACCTAGTTTGGGGACCAAAGAAGATAACATCTTTTCGCGGAATTTTCTTAAATGGAAATTTTACACTGAAATAATGATTGAAATTGAATTATGTACTTGTTTTGCATTAGAATAGTGATAACTGTATTGTATTTGAAGCTTTGCGGACGTCCATCAGTAGTTTTACTGTCTCAAATACCCGTTTACCTGTCTCCGCTACACGTCGCCAGGTAAACTAAATTTGCAACAGTAAAACTACCGATGGACGTCCACAAAGCTTCAAATACAATACAGTTATCTCTTAATTGACTTCTCATAAGAGTCTTGCTGAGTCGGTTTACATCATACAGCTAACCTTAAGTTTGGTTTCTTGATTGTTGTTTTTTACATTTATAAGATTTTGTTATTTGAAGGTCTTTAAGAAGTCTGTGTTTCTGATCTATTTTTTTTATATTATTTTCAGGCATTTGAAGACTGTAATACTCTAACAAGTAAGAAATGTAATTCAACAAACTGTGGAACTAATTGTGACAATGGACAATGTAGGACAAAAATAGAAACAGAATTTCCTGCAACGAATTCTAGTCCGAAAATGAAGCATGTCAGTATCGTAGAACGTGCCAGTGAAAAAGCAAAACAACGAAGCTCTTCCACCTCATCCTTAAATACAACAAGTAAAATAAGGACGTTTAGGTCAAATTCAACGAATGCATCATTAGGGAAAAGTAAAATTGTCCCTCCTGGTGTAATTTCTCAGAGTTCATCAAATGTTTCATCCAATCAGATAGAAACTACTGTACAAATAAATCAATCAGATTCAAGTGCTAAAAGAAGAAGCCTGTCTCAACCAGATCATATTAATAAAACTGTTACAAATGTAAACCAGTCTAAAACTGGTTCAAAGCCTTCAAGGACTGAACTGAGTAAATCATCAAGTAAATTGAATTCAAAATTACAAAAGTCTTCAAGTTCGTCAAGTATACCAACTAAAAAGACGAGTAAATCTCAATCATCACTACCTCAATCCTCGGGATCACAAAGTAGACTTCCACAGAAAAAGACAGACCAAGACTCAGGCAGAAAAAACTCAGGACAAATAACTCATGGAAGTTCTAACTCAAGAGTGCCTAAAACTGTATCTTCTATAAAAACTCAGGGATCATCTATATCGAAACTCAATCAAACAAGTACTCAGTCTGATATAAATACAAGACAAAGGGAAGTAACCCCTACAAATAATCAGCCAGCTAGAGTACCATCATTTCCAAACGGCCAGTATTTTTATGATTATAGTGACGAAGATAGTGATATTAATCGTCCAATTTCAGGATGTAGTAATGGATCAACAATTTCAATTAACGAAATTTTAGATGACGATGACGATACCGATACATTACTAGATGCAGACTTTACTGCAGAAAAATTTGCTTTTTTTGAAACTCCACAATTTATGCAAGCTGAAGTAAAGAAAAAGGAAAAAGCCAGAAAAAAGAAGGAGAAATCAATATTTTCTAGTTTACGTGGCAAGCCAGATATTGTTAAGGATACTGAATATAGTGAGAAAAAGAATAAAATAAAAAGTCCACGTTCACATAGACGTAGGAGCTTACCACATTCAAATAAAACAAAACAACCAAATCGACCCTCATCACTTGTGTTGAATTCAAAAGACAAAAATAACATGAAACATGGATATAGTTCTTCAAGCTTAAGTAGTAGTGAGAGTGATGAAAACTGGTCCCCACAATTTGCAAGACAATACCAGTTGAAACTGTACAAAGTTCACAATAAATCGGGAAGTAGTGAAAGTGGAAGTATGTCTGGTTCTTTGTCAGAAAAGACCCAGATGAAATCATCACAGGAACTAACGCCTACTGCTAGTGAAAAATCATTTGGTTCTCAAACTGAGGCTAGGGATAAGGATATTTATAGAGAGGTGATTGTTGTGAAAAATATTGATAATTCAAATGTTGGCTCACAGAATAGGAAAAGGGGGCCTCCACCTCCGATTCCCAAAAAACCTCCAATAGCTGGCCGCCGCTCACCTGGAATTATAATGGGAATACAATCCCCTGGATTACGTAATAAGACACTCTCAACTAACCAAGAACTGAGCTTATTGAAACCTCATGAATTCAAAACTGGTGTATTTGATAATGTTGATACTATTCAGTCAGTTAATGTTGTCACTGAACAAACAGTGAATCAGACTCATAAATATATGTCCTCTGATTCAAGTTTCGAAAGCGTGAAAAATGATAAAGTAGAAAGATCGGGAAGTAAAGACGATGGATATTCAACTATGTCTAGTGATATTCAACCAGAGATGTTAGAAAAATTTAGTGATTCTTCATTGAAAAGAGATGCTGTATTCCGAAATGATTTTCAGGTTAGAAACGATATGACTGTGATGCATGTTATGGATTCTAGTCACAAATTTGTTAGTTGTGGGACTTCTCCATTGGAAACAACTGCTGTAAACTCACATTCATTGAACTTTTCTCCAAAACGTTCCTCACCAAATATGCAAGATAAAAATATAGGACATAATTCTTTAGGACGGGTCAAAGCTATGAAACAAATGTTTGAAGCAGAATGTCAAAAACAAAATGACAATTGTAAAAGATTTCCACTTCGAAAATCGTTTTCTGTTGATAGTAAATTAGGGCACAATGAAAAAACTTTAAACCGCAGATCTCTTGGTGATGATGTTCAACTAAATGTTACTGAAATTGACGAGTCTGAATCTAGAAATCGTTCATCATCATGGGGAAACAAATCTCATCATGTGACCGATTCTTTGCACCAAAATGATACTACAAATCTCTTGGACAAGGACAATAAATGTTCACAAAATAAGAAACAAATTGATGAAAGAGCTAATGCAAAGGAACAAGATCATTATGTCTCAAAACTTGATCATGTTACTTTGAGTTCTGACCATGTGACCTCAACTTCCAGAAGTCACATGACATCAGACAGGAATTCTATTTATCACATGTTAAACAACAGTGAAGAGAACTTTCTTTCCGACATTCCAGAAGAAAAAGAAGACTATGGAGAAATGTCTGGAGCATCTAATGAAAAATTATTAGATTTTCCTGTGAGAAAACAAATTTCGAAGAAAGATCAAATATCAAATTTACAGCTTTTTGAAACTTCCACAACAAAGCATTACTGGTCATCCACTTTGGGGTTGTGTAGATTTTTGTCTGATTCAGATCTTGAGAAAATATCAAAGAAGCAGTCTGTTGATGATTTTAAGGACATTGGCAATATCAGTTCTGGAAAAGCATTGGAGAGATCTGTGTCTCTATCCAGTCTAAATACAAAAACAGAGATATTGGCAAACATGAAACTAGCTCCAACATTGCGTAGAAGTTGTCGTCAATCATTGATTAATGAGATAAATGTCAACGATAGAGTGCAAGATATTGTCAAGGAGCATATTCTGAAACAGGTATGTTGATTAAATCTTTGTTAGGCCAAAATAATATGACTGTTGACCCTAACAAATGGGGGGGGGGGGGGGTATTTTGGAGGAAAAACAACTTCCTGAAAAAAATCAGATGGTACCAGCATCATTTGCAGTTTTTTTCAACAATCTTGACAGTGTCCATGCACTTGTGTCTTTCTCATGTTCCAACAGTTGCTTTTGTTCAATACATATACAGTACAATTGATCTAGTAGACTGATTGCATATACTTTGGAATGAACACTGTTGTTTTACATAAATAAAGCTATTTTCTTTCACTTCTAACAATTGTTACACAACCTTATAACAAGCAATTCCAATTTTTGGCAAAATAAAATCTGCAACTGCATTAAAACATGATTAAAATAACCTCAAGTTCAGAATGTTAAGAAATGTAGAATTTATACATGTAACAAAGGAACAAAATTTGTTTTACAGCTTGCCCACTCAGTTGATAGTGAGTCAGATGACGATCTCCAAAATTACAGCTTTGATCAACTTCTGGCAAAGAAACAGAGACAGAACTACCTGGCACAGTCTTTTGAGGTAAGTTTAAAAAACTACCTGGCACAGTCTTTTGAGGTAAGTTTAAAAAAACTACCTGGCACAGTCTTTTGAGGTAAGTTTTAAAAAACTACCTGGCACAGTCTTTTGAGGTAAGTTTAAAAAAACACACAAAACTATCTGGTACAGTCTTTTGAGGAACAGAGACAGATTTACCTGGTACAGTCTTTTGAGGGAGGTTTTAAGAAACAGAGATGGGACTTTCTGCCACAGTCTTTTGTGGTAGGTTTACAGATAAATCATACACAACTAAAATGTGACTACTGCAAAGACAAAAACTAAATTTGGTAGCCTGTTATTTTGTATAAGTATAAAACCAGCATTTATTTTTGGCCTTATTCTGAATTCATAAGTTTATGATTTATTATATGTAAAAAAAAACCTTTTCTTCAAATAATAGACTTCACCAACATAAAAAATTTCAAAAATATAAACAATCAAAAATTTATTTACACTACTTGTGAAAATTGTATAATTTTGAACAAAGACTTATTTTTTCAGTAACATAAATGTAATCATCCCCCCGGGAAAAAAAACTAAAAAAAAATGCACAAAAAACCTCAACTTAACAGTGTAAATTGATTTTATGATAAATTAAACATGGTGATTATCATTGTATTTATTTATTTTTAGTCAAAGTTCAACCAACCAGCCCCATTCAAAAACCAATGTGATTTCCCTGAAGAACCTTTCTCTTCAAATTACCATGAAAAGGAGTCCACTTTTTCGTCCAATGAAGAGAGAGGCGAAGATAAAGGTAGACAATCCAGTAAAGAATCTAGTCCAATGGTGGAAAAGCCTTCAAAATTTAGAAGTGACTACTACAGTCTCTGCATGGTAGGATCAAATCGTAGTTTATTTTCGGGAAGTAATGAAGGCGAATCTGACCAAATTTTAATTGATGAGCCACAGTGTGTTAACTGCAAAGATCCTTCAAATTGTAGACAATGTACAAAAGCTAAAAATACAGAAGAATTTGATGAAATTTCTCGACAACTTCAAAGTCTTTCGAAAACTGTGAATGCTTTACAGCAGAGCTTGACTGGTGTGGATAGCTGTGATTCTGACGCTGAATCAAACGAAGACCATTCCCACATGTTTATATCACCAAATTCTGATTTCCATGGTGACGGTTATCAGTGGGTTGAGGATGATGAATTTTATCTGACACCATGTGGAGGTGAGCTCATTATGGGTGCGTCTCCGTTTTCTGATACAGGTGCTTGTGCTGAGTGGATTAATGAATATGCTGATGATACATCATGTAATGATGAATTTGAATTTTACGGAAACTTTGCTGATGAATCTATTGACAATCGTCAATTCCAAGCTCCAATCAAAGAGGAGGGAGAAATTAAAAAATATGAAGAATCGAGAACAGTTACTCCTCCTCAAAGTAAATCTCCAATCCAGAGAGGTAACAATGATCCACAACCATGTGATAGTTACAGTAGACAAAAAGCACTGAAAAAACTCAGAGGTGAAGGTCATGTGAGACACCATAGTGACGGACATCTTTCTAAAATCAACAATGAAAGCAAATCAAATGGAACAGAAGAGAGGATTGGTTCTATATATAGATCAAGGGAGAGAACTGAAGATAGCAAGATGTCTGATCCACAGGTAAATATCAATTTATCATCGTAACCTAACGCATGTATAGAGTTTAATTATTAATTGACCTCTCCCAAGCCAGGAATCCTTTCAGTGATCTTTCAGTCTTTTTCTGTGGCAAACTGGTTATCTCTTTGGCGGAACTGTAAACACGGTAAACTTTCTTACAAACAATACATGTATATTTGTGATCAATTGATTTTCGCTACTTTCATGAGGATAAAATTACTCAAATATGTCAATACTCAGATATACTCTTATATGAATACACGAACAAAGTTGGAAAATCATGAAAAGAAATCACCGCAAAATCAGTTAAAAAGGACTACATGTGAAAAAAAGTATCCTCGAAAAAAATATAAGTTGTTAATACAATAGTCCCTGATATGTATTTTACATGCCTGAAATCTCATTGATAATGCCCCGTCTTCTTTCATTCATATCCCTGTCTTCAGAAGTTGGCTGTCTGTGTTGAATTATACTAAGCTTGTGTAGACTTGGGGAAACATAGACCATTCAATAGTCTGGGCACTATTCAGTGACATTTAAATGTATATTTTGATTGCGAAATTGTGTTGTTGGCTTGCTGTCTTGTATCCTCATCTAGATCTACTATTTTATCTACCTTCTATCCATTCATAATCAATTTCAAGTAAGTTTTAGTGATCCCCCTGCGTTATGTATGTTAAATAAAGTTTCACCTTACTACTTTTCTAGTGGGTAAGAATAAACAACTTTCACATTCCTACATATTCCTGTACATTTTCCAATGCCACAATGCTTATGTCAATAGGTCACCATAAGAGTTGAATTTTCAAAGACCTCAATTACGCTGTTTGTCCTCAGGTTAATTGCTGTAACTCATTTATACAAAGGGACTTGAAATTAGTCTTAGATATAGATGTCTGGCAGTTTGATTAAACCCGTGGAAAGGGAATGAAGAATATGTTTTGTCTTTTTATAGCAAAGTTTACAACACTTGTCATCAGATTACTGGTCTTGTTAAAACTATACTTAAGGGCATACGATACAGTTTTGATCCCACAGTGAATTTTTGACGAACATTTGCATACAAGCTATTTTTCACATAGTTAATTCAAATATGTAATAAAAAACAGAACTTCATGTGCTAATTTTAGAGATAAATGGGGTTGCAATTTTAGACATTTACTGGAAATTTCGGTTTCTTGGACATTTCTATCCTTTGGAAAGATATGTATACCTAGCTTTTTTGTTTTAAATGATAAACACAAGCAGACTTTTGTAAAAACATCTGTGATATATTCTCTACTCAAAGTGTGCTTTGAATTTGTGCAACACTTCTTTGGAAACAATTTATGTTTATCACATTTTATCACATTTTCATGATTTTAGTAAAAAAAAAAACAGCATTTTTTTATGGTATATTTATCTATTTTTTTTAAATTTCATCAGTGATTTGTTTTTAAAAACTGGCACAAGTAATTGTCATCCATTGTACATTATCAAGCCAAATGTCATTTTTAAAAAGAGGGGTCCATGAACTTGTTTTCAAGATAAATCAGTCTGAATGATAAAAATCAGTGGAAAAACGCATCTTGTCACAATATGTCACAGTTTGACGGGGCGAAAAATAACATTTTATGTTAGTGACGTCATTAAATCCCCTGTAACTGTATCATATGCCCTTAAAGTAGTTAGGGGGGAAATCCTGACTTACTTAGAAAAAATTGGAAGTCCCATTGACGGGACGTATTAAGATATACAAATGTCCGGCGTCTGTCCGTCTGTCTGTCCGGCGTAAACATGTCGCACTATTACTTGAGAATGACTTATCCAAATTTCATGAAACTTAACATAGTTGTTTCTTATGATGGTCAAACGATCTGTATACTTTTTGGTGAAAATAAGATTAAAACTTTTTTAGTTACGGGACTTAGTAACTAAAACAGGTGTGTGTTTTTTTTCACATGTCGCGCCGTATCTCAAAAACAATTTATGATTATTGCTTAAAACTTTACACACTTCTTAGTTATATTAATCTCAAGATCTGTATACTTTTTGGTGATGAGTCAAAATTTTATTTTTGAGTTATTGAGTATTTTGTAAAAAAAGGGGGAGGGGTTTTTCACATGTCGCGCCGTATCTCAAAAACAGTTTATGATTATTGCTTAAAACTTTACACACTTCTTAGTTATATTAACCTTAAGATCTGTATACTTTTTGGTGATGATTCAAAATTTTATTTTTGAGTTATTGAGTATTTTGTAAAAAAAGGGGGAGGGGTTTTTCACATGTCGCGCCGTATCTCAAAAACGATTTATGATTATTGCTTAAAATTTTACACACTTCTTAGTCATATTAATCTTAAGATCTGTATACTTTTTGGTTTTGATTCAAAATTTAATTTTTGAGATATTGATTTTTTTTGTTTTTTAAAAGGGGGGTTTTCACATGTCGCGCCGTATCTCAAAAACGATTTATGATTATTGCTTAAAATTTTACACACTTCTTAGTTATATTAATTTAAAGATCTGTATACTTTTTGGTTTTGATTCAAAATTTTATTTTAGAGATATTGAGTTTTTTGTAAAAAAAAAGGGGGGGTTTTCGCATGTCACGCTGTATGTCAGAAACTATTTATGCTTATTGCATAAAAATTCACACACAAGATGACGGGCGTATCATGCGCTCATGGCACAGCTGTTTATTGTTGTTGTTGTAAATTAATACTGTAAGTTCAGAAAATGTTTGAGTGAATTTAGTTCTGAAATTGTTGAACCATGGACCAAAATACAAGATTTATTATAAAAATTTCAGGAAATGCTACATACAAATAAAGCTATCAAAATTTTAGATACAAGTTTTATTTTTTCGAAACCTAAAACATCACAAGAATTTTGGAATTTACAGTTTAGTTTTTCATTAAAATTTATTTCTCTATTTATTTCACCCATAAACATTTGTGTGTGTATAAACCGTATCAAAATAAACGCGCATGAAATTAAGGTTCATAAGATAGCGAACAGAAATACGACTAGTAACTTTATAAGCTGCAAAAGTACTTTTCATTGATACCAGTATTTGATGATGTGGAAATTCTCATCCATGTGTAACCAACTTCTCTTTTTATTTATATGTATTTATGCTTAATGGATGTTTTAATTTGTGGTTTTAACATCGTCAAGAAACAAATTACTTAATTCTGTGTTTACAAGGGTGTCTACATTAAACATCCTGGTGTACAAGGAAATCCACAAAAAGGTGATAGCCCATTTAATAGTAAAATGTAATTTTATTACATAGATACTTCTTATACCTATAAACAAGTTATAAAATCTGTACATTTTATGTTTCACATGTCTAAAATATCTCAAGTAAAAATTCACCCATGAAAATGGTGATTCCCATGAATAGCTGAATTTTATTTTATTTCGTAGATAATTCTTGTACAAATTACTTAATCTGCACATTTTATGTTTCATTTGTCTAAAATATCTCAAGTAAAAAACCTTGGAATTTTTGAAAAATTGCAGACATTCTCATGTCTAAAATATTATAGACTTCTTATTCTTGAAAGATTACAGACTTATAATAAAAAAGTATAATATTGCAAATTAAGATTTAGACCTGAAGTGTCAAGGGATGGGACTTTCTCTGTTTTATTTGATAGTATACACTAAAACGTATGTACCATGCAGGTGTTGCACAATTGCAGCCCTAAGCCAATTGATAATACAAATTTCATATATCAATTTATCATAAGATAACTTTTACACAAACAAATATTGTTCTTTTAAAGGTTGAGAAACTTGACAATTGATCTGAATTCAGAATACAAATACAGATGAAAATTTATCCCAACATTGGAAAACACTTAACATATATGCATGTAATGCATTTATGCAATTTTACCACAATTTTATCCTTAGGCCAAAATAGAAAATTGAAAATAATTTCAATACTAATTTATTCACACTCGGAGGAGTTGGTACATGTGTGTTTATTAATGTATATTTCAAAAAGTGAAAAAGTCAAATTGCATGTCACGTATGAGTCAGACATGTATTTAGCAAGTTCCTGCTAAGAAGGGATTTCTCAAATGTCATCTTTAATCATATTAAGATTTATATTTGATTCAGTTCATTTAGGGTAAGCTTTCTTCATTTTACTTTTTCATTTATTTATTTAGTTGAATTTTTTTTAGTGCATTTGAATTTAAAGCTCATAGCTATTATTTTTAATACACTTTTTGAGTTAGTTTTTTTTTGTCAATTTTTATTAAATTGTATTCTGATAAAATAGGATTTAAATTTGTTCTTTTTCCTTTTTTTTTTTTTATTAATTTAGCCTTGTTTTGGTCATGTTCATTATGGACTATGATTATATACAATTATTGTCTTTTGATGAGGTAAATATGTGGTTTTATTTACTTTTTATAAAAACTCATATTGGCCCTAGTGAATATAATATTTTTTTTAGATTAATAAAACCACATACTTACTGAAACTTCAGACAGCGATTGTTTTATTCCATAGTCAGAAATAAAACTAAGTTTCTATTGACAATTATTTGCCAAAAAGAATTGTGCTTCAAACATTTTACCATATTATACATGTGAAAGCATGTGGCGTTTATTGCAGTGAATATCACTTTCCTTTGGGTGAATAAACTGTTTTATTCAAAATTCAATTTGTATAAAAAACCCTTCTGAAATTCAAATAATACAATATGGAATAATTAAGCATGTTATATGCAAAAAAACAAATTGTTAGAGAAAAAAATGAACATAAGATGATGTCTGGTATACGTCAATGATACGACAATCAAACGTCACAAATAACCAAAAGACATCTAAAGGTCAAAATACAGCGTTTAACAATAGACAGGTGTCTATAACATTGATACAATATAACAACTTAACAAGAGTTTCTCTTTAGGAATTACGGAATATGTCATATCCTCAATGTACAAAGTCTGTCAGTTATCAAATATTTAAAAATTTGTTTTATGATTTGACAACTACAAATCTAGACTTTACAATTGGGATGTCAGTTGTTCAATTATTTAAACACTCTAAGCATTTTGAATGATTTTTCTTTTCTTTTTTATTAATCAGTTTTTATGGTTTTATATGTTGGTGATTTCTTAAAATGGATACCTAAATTGAATACGTATTGTTGATTCCTGTTGAGTAGTCAAACTTGCAAAATGCTGCCAATTTCAATGTACTAGGAAAATGGCCTGAATGGAGAAATTTGCAGTTACAGAACTTCACTGCTAGAAGTTTTCATTTTACAATATATGGTAAAAACTTTCAGAAGTGTCTTACTTGACAAACTATAAACTCAGTAGATAGTGCTTCGATACTGACATGATGTATATCATAATTATGCAATTCATTTCTTCGTTGATAAATTGTGAAATTTAAAAAATGATTAGGTTCCCTTTCCCTCAAGCAAAGATGACCTTATATGGATTTGGTTATTCTTTCTTGTGATCGTATAGCTCTTCATGTGTTGAGGCAGTTATACGCCCTTGGGTCTCTATTATTTGGAGATATGAGAGTCCCTTATGATAGCGATTGGGACGTAACAAATTTATAGATACACCTTTGGGTCTCTATTATTTGGGGGTATGAGAGTCCCTTATGATAGCGATTGGGACGTAACAAATTTATAGATACACCTTTGGGTTTCTATTATTTGGGGGTATGAGAGTCCCTTATGAGAGCGAATGGGACGTAACAAATTTATAGATACACCTTTGGGTCTCTATTATTTGGGGGTATGAGAGTCCCTTATGAGAGCGAATGGGACGTAACAAATTTATAGATACACCTTTGGGTCTCTATTATTTGGGGGTATGAGAGTCCCTTATGAGAGCGAATGGGACGTAACAAATTTATAGATACACCTTTGGGTTTCTATTATTTGGAGATATGAGAGTCCCTTATGATAGCGATTGGGACGTAACAAATTTATAGATACACCTTTGGGTCTCTATTATTTGGGGGTATGAGAGTCCCTTATGATAGCGATTGGGACGTAACAAATTTATAGATACGCCCTTGGGTCTCTATTATTTGGAGATATGAGAGTCCCTTATGAGAGCGAATGGGACGTAACAAATTTATAGATACACCTTTGGGTCTCTATTATTTGGGGGTATGAGAGTCCCTTATGACAGCGAATGGGACGTAACAAATTTATAGATACACCTTTGGGTCTCTATTATTTGGGGGTATGAGAGTCCCTTATGAGAGCGAATGGGACGTAACAAATTTATAGATACACCTTTGGGTCTCTATTATTTGGGGGTATGAGAGTCCCTTATGAGAGCGAATGGGACGTAACAAATTTATAGATACACCTTTGGGTCTCTATTATTTGGGGGTATGAGAGTCCCTTATGAGAGCGAATGGGACGTAACAAATTTATAGATACACCTTTGGGTCTCTATTATTTGGGGGTATGAGAGTCCCTTATGATAGCGATTGGGACGTAACAAATTTATAGATACGCCCTTGGGTCTCTATTATTTGGAGATATGAGAGTCCCTTATGAGAGCGAATGGGACGTAACAAATTTATAGATACACCTTTGGGTCTCTATTATTTGGGGGTATGAGAGTCCCTTATGAGAGCGAATGGGACGTAACAAATTTATAGATACACCTTTGGGTCTCTATTATTTGGGGGTATGAGAGTCCCTTATGAGAGCGAATGGGACGTAACAAATTTATAGATACACCTTTGGGTCTCTATTATTTGGGGGTATGAGAGTCCCTTATGAGAGCGAATGGGACGTAACAAATTTATAGATACACCTTTGGGTCTCTATTATTTGGGGGTATGAGAGTCCCTTATGAGAGCGAATGGGACGTAACAAATTTATAGATACACCTTTGGGTCTCTATTATTTGGGGGTATGAGAGTCCCTTATGATAGCGATTGGGACGTAACAAATTTATAGATACGCCCTTGGGTCTCTATTATTTGGAGATATGAGAGTCCCTTATGAGAGCAAATGGGACGTAACAAATTTATAGATACACCTTTGGGTCTCTATTATTTGGGGGTATGAGAGTCCCTTATGAGAGCGAATGGGACGTAACAAATTTATAGATACACCTTTGGGTCTCTATTATTTGGGGGTATGAGAGTCCCTTATGAGAGCGAATGGGACGTAACAAATTTATAGATACACCTTTGGGTCTCTATTATTTGGGGGTATGAGAGTCCCTTATGAGAGCGAATGGGACGTAACAAATTTATAGATACACCTTTGGGTCTCTATTATTTGGGGGTATGAGAGTCCCTTATGAGAGCGAATGGGACGTAACAAATTTATAGATACACCTTTGGGTCTCTATTATTTGGGGGTATGAGAGTCCCTTATGAGAGCGAATGGGACGTAACAAATTTATAGATACGCCTTTGGGTCTCTATTATTTGGGGGTATGAGAGTCCCTTATGATAGCGATTGGGACGTAACAAATTTATAGATACGCCCTTGGGTCTCTATTATTTGGAGATATGAGAGTCCCTTATGAGAGCGAATGGGACGTAACAAATTTATAGATACACCTTTGGGTCTCTATTATTTGGGGGTATGAGAGTCCCTTATGAGAGCGAATGGGACGTAACAAATTTATAGATACACCTTTGGGTCTCTATTATTTGGGGGTATGAGAGTCCCTTATGAGAGCGAATGGGACGTAACAAATTTATAGATACACCTTTGGGTCTCTATTATTTGGGGGTATGAGAGTCCCTTATGAGAGCGAATGGGACGTAACAAATTTATAGATACACCTTTGGGTCTCTATTATTTGGAGATATGAGAGTCCCTTATGAGAGCGAATGGGACGTAACAAATTTATAGATACACCTTTGGGTCTCTATTATTTGGGGGTATGAGAGTCCCTTATGAGAGCGAATGGGACGTAACAAATTTATAGATACACCTTTGGGTCTCTATTATTTGGGGGTATGAGAGTCCCTTATGAGAGCGAATGGGACGTAACAAATTTATAGATACACCTTTGGGTCTCTATTATTTGGGGGTATGAGAGTCCCTTATGAGAGCGAATGGGACGTAACAAATTTATAGATACACCTTTGGGTCTCTATTATTTGGGGGTATGAGAGTCCCTTATGAGAGCGAATGGGACGTAACAAATTTATAGATACACCTTTGGGTCTCTATTATTTGGGGGTATGAGAGTCCCTTATGAGAGCGAATGGGACGTAACAAATTTATAGATACACCTTTGGGTCTCTATTATTTGGGGGTATGAGAGTCCCTTATGAGAGCGAATGGGAAGTAACAAATTTATAGATACACCTTTGGGTCTCTATTATTTGGGGGTATGAGAGTCCCTTATGAGAGCGAATGGGACGTAACAAATTTATAGATACGCCTTTGGGTCTCTATTATTTGGGGGTATGAGAGTCCCTTATGATAGCGGTTGGGACGTAACAAATTTATAGTGTTATTTTCATTAATCAAGATACGTCCTTGAAAGTTTTGTTTGAACATGTATATTGTAGTGTCAAAACTTAAAACAGTCCACCAATAAAATCTTGACAAAATGACACTAAAGCAAATGAAAATTGTGTTGATAAATTTTATAACTTTCTTTTAGTACAAATAAATTTCTTTTTGGTTCTAGGTGAGAGCAGCCATGTTGGATGCCATGGTACATTTAAGCGGAGCTAGCATGGATAGCTTGGATGATAACATTGGTGTAGATCATGTGATGTGCTCTAGACTCCTAGGTGGAGGTCAGTAAAAAAATATTTGTAGTTTTCAATAAAATGATCGCTGCTGACAATAAAAGTGACTTTGGGAACAAACTGTAGTAAACCAATATTCAAAACACAGAACAAGTGAAAATATGGCTGTAATTCCCAATTCTATATTTAATTATTTGTACCCCAAAATGAAAATACTGTAAGTTCAGAAATCATTGTCGGTGTTTATTATTGCCATTTGTAAAGAATTGACATAAATGCAAGGTCAATTATTGCAATTATGGGAAAACCTACTTAGAGATATATGTATCAGATAACAAAATGCGAGTTCTTATTTTTGCAATACTCATCCAGTCACATTTTTCACATTAATAAAAACCTTGCAATAATTTCTAATATACCGAAATATCATGTCATTAGTTGAGTTGCCATCAGGAAGTATTAGAGAACACCTTTAAAAATATAACCAATTTGTTATGACGTATTAATTGTACAAATAAAGGAAAAAATGGAAAATTAAAGTCTTCTCATAAAGATAAGGCAAAGTCCATGGGGTAAAATAATTAGAATTCAATTTGGTTAATAAATTAATTTATAAATCTGAGCAAATGAAAGGACTAATTAAAATAAATGGGTTACAGTCTCATTGAAAAAAAGAGGCTGAAGAAACCAAAAGGAGAATAGAAACACATATGTCAAAGAGAAAACAAAATCATGGCAAAAAATGAAATATAAAAAAAAGACCATGAGAGGTCTAAAAAAAATGACTTAAAAAAACGAAGACAAAGAAATACAGACCGCATCAAAACTGATGTGATCTCAGGTACTCTAAAAGGTTAAAAAAAAATATTTCCCACCTTTCATTTTGTACACTTAAAAATTTCAGAACTCTTGGTTTTCTTGGTTTTGTGCATGAGCTTGTGTCCTGTCATATTACAATGATAATGTCTTGAATACTGTAAACAAAAGTCATTTTGCAAGTGTTAATCAATTATCTATTAAGTAATCAAAATATCATCTCAAATCAGTATGAGTCAGAATAACTCAAATCAGTATGAGTCAGAATAACTCAAATCAGTATGAGTCAGAATAACTCAAATCAGTATGAGTCAGAATAACCCTAATCTTCAACAATACATTTGTTTTGGTCTTTTGGAAACAAACATAACAAACAAAAAATATATTATTAATTTCATAAGCATCAAATTGATATAATTGATATATTTTTTTTCAGACAAAGGACCAGTCCGATCCACAGGTACCAGGTCAGCTGTAGATTTGTCTCAGTTTTTTGTTCGATATGGGGAACCAGAAGAAGAAGCAGTAGCAGCCTTTGATTTCCTGGATGAGATTCCTGCTGATCCTCTTCAGCAGCAGATGACAGGTTTAACAATCAGCCAATCAAATACAGTATCTCAGTGTCCACAAACAGAATTGACCAATAAGGGACCAGAAAACAAATCACTTCCTGTTCAAGAACAAAAACATTTGGAATCTGCAAATTCTCAAACTAAGGAGGAAAAGTGTCAAGATGTTAAAGGGAATACAGAAAATAAAAGCAAACTTCAAAAACCAGAAAAAAAGTTTTTCAATTTCTCAAGGAGTAAATCAACTAAATCTACAGATAATTCAAAAGAAAAAGAAAGCAAGCTTCCAAAGAAGGTCAAAACCAAAGAGTTAAAGGAAAAAGACAAAGACACTCCAAAGGAAAAATCTAAAATTCCAAAGTTCAGAAGTTCAAGCAATGAACAAAAAGTTTCTAAGCAGCTTAGTGTCAAAACAATGCAAGACAACTCTATAAAATCTTCAAGTTTAAGACATTTTAATTCAGGATCTCATGAACATGTTTTGTCTTTAAAAACAAACAATAGAATTGTTGATAAATTGTAACTACTACTTTAACAGAGTGTGGTATTTAAAAAAGGGAGATAATCTTGGCAGTTGTAATATGATATTGTTAGTGTAAGGGTGGGACAGGGGTACCATACGTGAAAATTAATGGTTATTTATTGTGAATAAAATAATGGTAAAAGTAGATATTTTTCTCCATTTAATGCCAAAAACCACTAAAGAATTCCATGAGACAAATGAGAATAAATTTTAAAGACTCATTTAATGCTAACAGTAGCAAAAAAGGGTCAATTGATTTTTGATGATAAATGCCAATTCTACCCTCTCATATTAGTGCTATTGTTTTATTATTCATGATCAGAATATACCAGATCAGAGGGGGCAGCCGGGGCCCTCCTTAGGGAGCTACGTATATGATAAATTCATAGACTTGACAAGTATCACTTCTAGGGCCCCCCTCTTTTGATAATCCTAGATCTGCACCTGGACGTCACAAAAATTTTAGGTAATTTGTCAAAATTTATAAGTCATCCACGAGATGTTATTATGTACCATTTTGATTTCATGTTTGTACATTTTGTTCATAGTATAAATAAGAACCTGGAAAGTGATGGGGTAAATATTTCATAAAAAAATAGATTTCAAGCCAAAAAAAGATACCAAAGGTTTTCAAAGAAAAAAAATATTATTTTGTGCCATAGAACATATCTCATGAATATTCATATGTTCATATATAATTTATCAGTACATTACTGTACAATATACATAGAACACTTATGCAATAACTGAACTATTGTAGTTTGTCAGTAGAAGTTAAATATAATCCGACAGTGACTTTGTTTTTTTGTAGTTCAGGAAATTTTTTCTAATGCATGTTTTATACGATGAAATTCAAGGCCATGTAAATTTATTTATTCAAATTATTGTTTCTCTGGTAATACATATGAATTATAAGAAGGAGATGTATTTATATTTGTCCATTATTAAATTTGTTTTAAAAATTTAGTATATTGGGTTTTTTTACAAATTTTAATGACATTCTTTGTTTTCTATAATTACAGCTTACATTTCTTTTGTTTTGAATGTTCATTGTCTACTTATGTATGTCTGAATGTTTTTAAAACAATAAGTTTATTTTTTTTCCAATTGGTTATTTTTAAAATTTGAAGAAAAAACAAGTTTTGTTGTTGTCACATTGACATTTACCCAACATCTCTCAATATAACGGAAGTATAAAAAACTATCGTACAAGTTGGAGGTTTAACTATATGAATAAAGCCAGCCTTAACCCACAATTTTCTTCGTAAAATGCTTGTACCAAGTCAGGAATATGACAGTTGTTTTCTATTCGTTCCATTGGTTGATATAGTCAAGCTTTTGATTATGTCAGGTTTTATGGACTTCCCCCTTTTTTAATTTAACTTAAAGTTTGGTTTCAGAGAATCTCATGGTTGGATTTTTTTATTTTCTTGGCCTTGAATGTAAATTTGTACTGTTTTTAAGTGCCAGTCTTTGTAAGAACCAGGCAATTTTTAAACTTGCACAAGGATCCATTACATTTTTAAAATCGAGAACAAAAGATTTTTTTTTTATCATTTTATAGAGACTGGATTTACTTGACCTTTGACATTATGTATTCTTTCATCAGTTTGAAAAGCTTTTTTTGTATACACACAATTTATATAGGATTTTTACACTGGTTTTTGATATAATTTTTTATAACATCAGTTTGTTACAAGTCTTGTATAATATGTATATTTCATTTCATTTATTTAAAATGTTTTTCACACCAACAGGCCAATAGATATTATATGAAATAAGCATCAGGCCAATGAAAATAGTGTTTTGTTTAGCTTCCCCTGACAATTTCCATTGATAAGGGTCTGGGCCATATCTGAATATTGGTTGCTACTCTAAGAAATTTTTATACGCTAAATAAGATAAGAATGTTTTTAACTACTTAGGGAAGATAATTGTAACAAAAAGGTTGAATTTCAAATAAATTTGCAAAGAGTTAGGCTTTCCCTTTTTACTTCCTAAAAAACTAAATCATTGTTATATTTATATTTATTAGAAAAGTACGTCAGCTTTTCTTGCATAAGATCGAGTAAAAGGAGGTGTGAGAAGTATATGTTAAGTTTTCAAAAAGTAGACATTTTAAAGTCACAGAACTACCGTTACTATGAATAATTTGGGTTATATATATATATTTAGTAAAGACAACACCGCTTTTTCAAATAATATCCTTCCCTCATTAGTAAAATAGTAAAATGTCTTAAAAACAGAAAAAAAATGTATATGTATGAAATCAGTCTTCCAGCGTTAAGATAGAATTATGTAGATTTTAATACTCAGCATACATGCAATATGCAATGAAAAATTCACATTATAATTTTACTGATTTTAACAAGTTTTAAAACCATATTGAATTTATCAAAGGGAGAGAATTTATTTAATTTTTAAGATGGGAGGTAACTCAAGATGCAGAATAAAAATAAAATTATGTGCAGATTATTTATCTCTATATATATTTGCATGTACATATAGATCAGAGAGATTGGGAATTGTATTTTTCTGAAATATGTATGTAAAGATCTAATAAATTAAAAAAAAACAGATAAAAACTAATAAAAAGAATAAAAGTTTCTATGTATTGTAAATTCAGAAATGCTTGTGATACATTTATTATTGAGATTGTTGAAGTATGGACAAACATGTGTGTTTGAATATTACTTTGTCAGTAAATTATACATACAAAAAATGCTATCAACGATTGAAAATGTTTATTTTAGCTTTTTCCCGAAGCCTAACCAGTTGCATTTTTTGCAATAATAAAAACATTGCAAAAATTTCAGAATTTACAGTATTTGAATAGAACAGGTGTGTATAAGGAGAGGATGGGAGTCAGAATGTAGGATAAATCTCTTTAGGGTTTTATTTTTTATTTAAAAAAAACTATTAACTCAGTTACTTTATATTTACAGCAAAGGAAATACAACCAATAGAAAATAAATGAAGGAAACAGCCATTTTTGATTTAAACCAGTCTAGGAAAAAAACATCTGAAATCTCAGAAAACGCTCATTTTGAATCTGAATCTAAAAAGCAATGCCTGAGCACTCTAATAAATTGAATCCTACAGTTGTCTGAATTGTACTGAGTTCATCAAAGTTGAAATCTCTGGACATGACATAAAATTTATAATTCAGTCTTTCAAGTGGGAACTGACTGTCTCACTTCAAAATATGTTTACTCAGTGGTCAACAAATAGTGTCATTCATAGTTTTAAACATTTCTAATGTCATGTAAATTGTTTGAAATTATTTCTTGTCTTTTCTTTGAATGAATTAACATTCTGTTAGTTAGTAAGGCCCCATTACATGAACAATGTTTAATTTTGTAATAAGGTATCTTTACTGGTAGGGATAAAATAATATATATAGGGATTAGCCAAAAAATACAGAAAATTAGAAAAAATATATATTCCTACAATTCAAAATAAATAAAATGAAAAGTCCTCAAAGGGAGACAATTCATATGAAAATTATTGTGCATAACACATAATGCATAACATTTAGGTACTACTTATATTGGATGTTTTGAAACATCTAAAACTATGTTATATCCTGAAACAAATATATCATGAGGCCAAAAAATAAAATTATATGTTTGATTTTTCAGGCTAAAGAAAACAAACATATTTTTTTCATTTGTCCTTACCAGATTTTGCCATAAATGTCAAATATGTTAATGAATTTATTATGAATAGGATTATTTAGTATAAGATTAATGTTAAGTAGATAATCATGATTAGGAGATAAAAATCATGTTTATGATTAAGTTTGTCTTATAATGTTTGTTGGACCTAGTCTCTGCATTAAATTATTGAAATTTGTCAACGACATGCCATGAAAAATAAATTATTCAAAAACTAATGTTTGTTTTTAAATTACATTAACATGTGATTTAGATATTTATTATGCCATACTGCCTCTGTTGTTTCATGTTCACCTGGAGTGCAGGAGGTCATGGGTTCACAACCTCTACTTAGTCAAAAGAAGACTTTAATATTGGTATTTGCTTCTGCATGCGGCATTAAGGAATAAGATCATAGACAGGTTAGCTTTTAGTCAGAATAATGTGTCCTGGTAAGGTGACGACTTTTACTTTGTGAACTAACACATTAAAAATTCAGTTCAATGTTTAGGTCAAGTACAAAGCAGGGTTGATATTCATATTACATAAACATGATCTTGTCCTGAATATGTGTTTGAATTGCCGCTGGACATAATACAGCCATCCACTACCCATCATCATCTTGATTATGTGATGTACATTTTGGTCATACGATGCAGATATTGATGACTATTGCCTCATTTTTTTAGAATTACCTGCATCTGTTATAAGTTAAAAAAGTTTTTTGGTTAAATGTCAATGTGATAGAAACTAAACACCATAGGAAGGTTCAAACCGTTTAATATTCACAAATCTTCACACAGTTTTCAACAGTAAACAAACAAACAACCATGGATTACAGGATCTAACAAGTCTTTGTTGGTGATTAATGTCACATTCAGCTCTGCTGACTATATGACATGATGTCCAGTTTTAATTGGTGGAGGAAGTTGGAGTATCATGACGGGTAGTTTTGATTGATGGAGGAAGTTGGAGTATCATGATGGCCAGTTTTGATTGGTCGAGGAAGTTGGAGTATCATGATGGCCAGTTTTGATCGGTGGAGGAAGTTGGAGTATCATGACGAGCAGTTTTGATTGGTGGAGGAAGTTGAAGTATCATGACGGGCAGTTTTGATCGGTGGAGGAAGTTGGAGTATCATGACGGGCAGTTTTGATCGGTGGAGGAAGTTGGAGTATCATGATGGCCAGTGTTGATTGGTGAAGGAAGTTGGAGTATCATAATGGCCAGTTTTGATTGGTGGAGGAAGTTGGAGTACCTGGAGAGAATCACAGACCTTTGGTTGAAAAGCTAACCATCCTAGTCAATTAGGATTGGAGTTGATAGCACCTGCCAAGTGTGAGTTTGACCTCACAACTTTAGTGTTGACAGTCTTGACAAGTTGTGTATGATTTCAACAAAGTAGTTAACCTGAATAATTCAGTCGTTATATTCCACTGCTCTACGATGGCTACATTAACGAGTGGGAGAGTCGATCACGAGGAGGGACTGAATTATTCAGGTTACAAAGTAGTGAGGGCAAAAAGCAACAATGTCTGCAAATAGTAAAGAGAAAACTTCCTTGTCTGATTAGTTCATAAACCAAAAATTTTCGAACCATAGACTACAGCTAGTTATGTCCATGGAGTGTGAGAGATCGTTGATTCAATCCAAAGAAAGATCAAACTAGTCTTCAAAACCTTTTTTTTTGCAGGGTTCATATTCATATCACATACACATGTTCTTGTCCTGATAGGCATGTAATACTTGCCACTGGACAGTAAACACAAATTCATCAACACATTCACATGTACTTGTCTTGATATGCATGTAATACTTGCCAATGGACATCAAACACAAATCCATCAACACATTAACATGTACTTGTCTTGATATGCATGTAATACTTGCCAATGGACATCAAACACAAATCCATCAACACATTAACATGTACTTGTCTTGATATGCATGTAATACTTGTTACTGGACATCAAACACAACTCCATCAACACATTAACATGTACTTGTCTTGATGTGCATATAATACTTGCCACTGGACATCAAACACAAATCCATCAACACATTAACATGTACTTGTCTTGATATGCATATAATACTTGCCACTGGACATCAAACACAAATCCATTAACATGTACTTGTCTTGATATGCATGTAATACTTGCCAATGGACATCAAACACAAATCCATCAACACATTAACATGTACTTGTCTTGATATGCATGTAATACTTGCCAATGGACATCAAACAAATCCATCAACACATTAACATGTACTTGTCTTGATATGCATGTAATACTTGTTACTGGACATCAAACACAACTCCATCAACACATTAACATGTACTTGTCTTGATGTGCATATAATACTTGCCACTGGACATCAAACACAAATCCATCAACACATTAACATGTACTTGTCTTGATATGCATATAATACTTGCCACTGGACATCAAACACAAATCCATTAACATGTACTTGTCTTGATATGCATGTAATACTTGCCAATGGACATCAAACACAAATCCATCAACACATTAACATGTACTTGTCTTGATATGCATATAATACTTGCCACTGGACATCAAACACAAATCCATCAACACATTAACATGTACTTGTCTTGATATGCATGTAATACTTGCCATTGGACATCAAACACAAATCCATCAACACATTAATATGTACTTTTCTTGATATGCATGTATCAACACTTTTCATCAATAGAATGTACTTGCAAGTCTTTTTATAACACAAAACAAATACCAAGTATAATCTATATGGTTTGCAGATTTGATAAGCTAACTATGGATAGGTGAAAAGGCGAAGTCCACCAGAGAAGTATAAAAATGAATTCAGAAAGAAGTTCTTCGGCAAAATATAGACACAAGCTTACGATGAAATTTGCCTTCTTACCCTTGAGTATTTGTTGATAGACCACTAAAATGTTTTATAAAAAAACGTAATGAAAAAATGAATTAAACAATTTATTTGTGCATTTTAAAATCTGAGACTACTATGGCAGTTATAGTAGTCTCAGACTGAATGCAAATTAAAACAATAGAAATATTATAATGAGAGATGGGACAATGTATGATAATTTATTCTTGGAGGTCATTTGATAATAGTGGGAGCAATATTTTAGCCATAAGCAAGACAAGAGAACATTACTGATTTTATATTGCCAATTTTCGGAATCCGAAATGTCATTTATATTCAAAATTATTTATTAAATTTCTCCTTTATATGTGGCTTTGACGTTTGAAAATGAATCTGGAAAATCTCTATTTGTAAATTGGTATGAAATTCTAATACTTAGTTTTGGGAAAAGGCAACTTTTAAACAATTGTTTGACCTATACTTCTGGTTTAGTTCCCAGACTGTCTCACATTTAAAAACTCACATGCATTTGTTTTTCATGTATTATGTTTTATTTATCAATTACTATTCTATTGTATAAAATACAATTGAGAAGTCATAATTGTAATTTTTGAAAACTTTCAAACAGTTTCTTAATTGATAACTGTTGAACTGTTTGATTTTCTCTGTGTTGTCTCAAACCTATAGATTACTGAAATACCCAGCTAAGTTTGCAGTGTATTGGTTAAAAGGTTCATAGATAATAAATGGGTTGATGTTCCATCGACGTGTAACCCATATTTTTTATTTTTCATATCCCAATGGTATTTTTAAATGCGTTGTTTTTGTGATATAAAAAAAAGCCGTCACCAGATTTGTTGCTTATAAACTAAAACATGTTGGATAAACCGATAATTATAATAATAATAATATTTACTCAGGTAAAGGCAATATATACAAAAAAAGTAAAATAACAAAAATACCGAACACCAAGGAAAATTCAAAACGGAAAGTCCCTTATCAAATAGCAAAATCAAAAGCTCAAACTCATGAAACAAACGGAAAACAACTGTCAGATTCCTGACTTGGTGCAGGCATTTCCTCATGTAGAAAATGGTGGATTAAACCTGGTTTTATATAATAGCTAGCTAAACCTCTCACTTGCAGTCGCATAAAGTTCCATTATCTTGACAACAATGTGCGAACAAAACAAACAGACATGATAGGTAAAAATGTCAAAAATAGGAATACAGCTGTCAACATTGTGTTATAATCGTAATCACTAAAAAAAAAACAAATATGTCAACAAAGAAAAACAAAATGGCATACAGACAAAGCACATAAGCAAAAATGAAAGACAAGAATACAAAAAATGACCATAGCACAATAACACGATGGTGGGATGTATAAGTACCGAGCCACGCCCAAAGGTTGTTGCCAATAAAGAGCTGCTCTTTGAGCGCATGATACGCCCGTCGCTTTTTCAAAGAATAAAGTTCCATAACTCCTCAATGTCATATCAGAAATTTATAAAATACAAAGGGAGGTATTTTAATAGATATAAACCAGTCACCAAAGTTTCATGAAAACTGCTCAAAGAACTCTGAGTTATTGTCCCAAAACTGGAAAAAAAACCTTTTTTAATGAATAAAACCCCATAACTCAAGAGACGTAAAATCGAAAACTTATGAAAATCAAAAGGGAGCTCACGTAATAGATATAAACAATTCACCAAAGTTTCATGAAAACTGCTCAAAGCATTTTTGAGTTATTGTCTGAAAACTGGAAAATCCCCCTTTTTAATGAATAAATCCCCATAACTCGGAAAGGTAAAATCCAAAATTTATAAAAATCGAAAGGGAGTTCACGTCAATAGATATAAATAATTGGTGAAAGCGTTTTTGATTTATTGTCCGACATGTTGACGACGGACGAACGGACGGACGGACGGACGGACGGACGGACAACGGTATACCATAATACGTCCCGTAAATGGGCGTATAAAAATGGAAAAAACATAATCATTTTTAAATACAACCTTAAAATATAGCAATGGTTGTGACTTTAGGTACCAGTCTAATGCTTTAACCCAAGGATGACCCATGAAAACAGACAAGCTTATTTCCAATGGAGTCCTTATAGTCTTGATAATTAAATAAATAATTTATCATTCAATTTTACAGCAATGAATAGTATCCATGAATCACAGCTTAAAGCATTCGTATAAAAAGCAATCTAATAAAATATAAAATCTGCATCTGACATTGACCTGAGTTTACTCATTAGGCGTTTTTTTTTATATTTCAAACTTAAATTTATTTTTGAATTCACATGAATACCTTTTACATGATCTGGCAAAACATTCAAGTTTTTAATACCACTG